TTCTTATGAATGTGAAGCTGCAGATATGAACATTGTACATAAGTGTCTTTTTCCACAAATTGTATGTAAAATTTTAAAAGATGTTTCGCCAGTGATTATTTTATATGCTATGTGTTATTTATTACAGACACTGTGGACTTATACATAATTATCCACAATCAAGCCCTTACACCATATGGACAGTCAATTACATGGAAGCAAATAATGGCTGAAATGGGACACACAGCATTGGAAGTTGCACAAAAATTTTGTGAAATGTTTAATTTGAAAATTTCACCTAATGAATATATTAAAAAAGTGACCTCAATTTATCCAGAAGTATTTCCGACAGTGAAATTAATGAGAGGTATTTTAATTAAGATTTTATGTAACAGGGGGTTACTGTAGACAGAAATAAAGATATAGACTTTAGAATGTGCAAAAGTACAAAACTTTCACTGGAGCATCATATTGTGGCCTTTTTTTTTTTTTTTTTTTTACCTTGTTACCTTTTCAGTAAACACAATTTTTATTCTGAGGCCATCCCATTTTTTAGCTGATGTTTCAGATGCTCCTTTGAATGTCTTGAATTTTAACCCTTTGACTGTCGCAACCCCCAATCCTGAGGTGTCTCCTGGTGTCGCAAAATTTAAAAAAAAAAAAAAATATTTTTTCTTTTGAAATGATAGAGAATCTTTTCCCGATTGTAATGACACCAAAAAATACGAAATTTGATGGAAAACTGACGGAATTATGCTCTCGCAAAATTAGCGACCTTGGCGATATTTACAAATCTGCTATTTCGCCCACTTTGAGCCCTATTTTCGGCTACTTCTGTTGTTCCAGTCGACCAAACTCATAGCTATATCTTTAGAACTCCATTTTCTCTATCGATTGAGTACAAGAAACTGCCCATTTACTGATTTCAACTACCCAATAATGTGGTCAGAAATTTGCAATTTGGCCAATTTCATGAAAATTAAAAAATATAATAATTTCAAAATAAGGTCCAGAATGAACAATGCAGACATTCCTGGCTCTAAAATAACATTTTCTTCGTTCATCAGTCATGTCTCCAGGCCCCTCTGATATTGCTCTTGCTTTTTATTTTGAATTTTTATTCAAACAAAAAATAGAAGACTTACTATTATGCAGACTACTGCAATACTGTAATAATTGTATAAATAACATCGACCCATTCATGGCTGCATATTAGAATGGCTAGTTGGACATTTATTGGACAATGACATCATTTGTTTACTTTTGAACATTGGCAAAAATCAAACGTTTCCCCTACTTTGAGCTCCTTTACCAGGTTCTTTTTATAATAAAATCAATCAAAATCACCTCCATTTCTATAATATGTTTTCCATTCTATCAAATGAGACCATGAAAACAAGAATACAACTATAAATACTATACGAAAGTAGACCACAAAGTCGGCATTTTAATTAAAAAAACGGTCGGAGTTTTTTTTTTTCTCATTATGTACTGCGTGCTCCAGGATTTTTTTTATATGGTGCACACTGACCACACAGACCAATTCTCTCACATGTGGGCCTACCAGCTTTCTCCTGCTTGATTTGAAGCCGCTAGAATTTATGAGTATATATACGTCAAACACGGTACCTCGTAAGACGTATATATACGGCCGCGACAGTCAAAGGGTTAAACACTGTTGAAGTATCTTGACGTGACTCAACCTAGTGACTCCCTCAAAGGAGGAAGAAAGAAATTGAACACTATATATTAAGCACCGAGAAACAAAGCATTGGGATTTTATTTGTACTCGGTCGTAAATCATAGTTTGCTTGAGAATATTGACTTTGCTGTAATCTCTTATCTATATACAGTACAGTATTATACATTTTTATCTCATTACAAATCTATATACTGTACAGTATTGCAAAATATTATTTATTTATCTATGTGCAGGAACTGCTATTACAGCATATGGAAAGTTTAAAACATCTATGTTATATACATATATCATCTTAGAGCAGTCATTTACCACGTTGCACTTACAAAGAAAGATTAAGAATACATAGAGACAGTACGAGACTGGTCAGTAAACTAAGAATGATCAAGGTTCAGAGACAGCAGCTACTCAGGGAGGTACAAGTACTTCTGTTCTGTCATATAAATGTTTTTAACTGGCAGGATTGCTTTTTTTTTTTTTTCTAAATCTTGAGAATGCATAATTATAGATAGAGCTTAAAAACCTCTGCTTATATTCAGTATACTTTTATCACTAATTTTGTGTTTCTTTCTAGCTCTTATTCCTTTAAAAGTTAAATTTTTGGTTTAGGTGACCTGGTCTGAGACTTTGGCAGTAATCTGTACTAGCAATATACTGTACTGGGCAACTGATCTTTTTGCATTCGTGTCTTAAAAGAAGTAAATTAATGTAATCATTGGAGGGCAAGAATACAGGGAAAAAATTAGAGCATGGAAAAAAAAAGTTATTGGATCGGGAGGCCTGATCAAGGACTGGGTCGTAAGGGCGTTGACCCCTGGAACACCCTCCAGGTAGATCCTTGAAAATTATTTTGAAGGGAACAACCTGCTCTAAAGTTGTGAAGGAAATTGTTTCATATTAAAGTAGATCCCCAAGTTATAAACATGCAGGCTACAGTGATCTGCACTTTTGAACGGGGAATTTTGGAATTTAATTTATTTTTTTATGGGTGCTGATCCATAGATGTGAACATTAAAAATTCCATAAAGTTTTCCATTAAAAGTTCCATAAAGTTTTCCTTTTTCAAATGCTTTGGTATTTTGTATATGGTCATTTTATAATATATGCATGGTGGACTCATATTTGTCATAAAGATTGGTTAATAACTGTAGATTTAATTCATTGCAGTGTTATCAATTTTTTTTCTCCATTATTTTTCACCAAATGCATTGATATTTTGTATATGTTCATTTTATGCTTGTGTGGTGAGCTCACATCTGTATGGTAGAGATTGACCAAGAACTGTAGATTGAATAATTACCCTCACTAGAACCCCTCTCTCTCACAAGCCGCCCCCTTTCCACACCTCATGTAGCATGTACTTACTCTCAACACATCCCACTTTGCAACCTACATGAGCATGTACTTCCAACACATTCCAATCTGCAACATACTGAGCATGTACTTACTTCTAACACTTTAATGTCACTAGGGAATCTTATAGGTGTGGTAACCTTAGACTTGCAAAAGGCCTTTGATACGGTCATCCATAATATATAACATAAGGAACTACAAGCATAGGTTCTGTAGACTGGTGTAAGTCCTACCTAAGCAACAGAAAACAAATTGTCAAGATCAACAACACAAAATCAGAACCCCTGCTGATAATATGTGGGGTTCCTCAAGGTAGCATTTGGGTCTCTTATTATTCCTGTGTTATGTGAATGACATGCCCATCAGTGTTACTTGTATGCAGATGACAGTGCTTTGTTAGTGTCAGGTATGCTTACAAGCAATGTCCAGAATATCTTGCTGCCAGGTTTGTCAAGGCTGAGAGCCAAAGCAAGTTGGGAACACATTCTGTTGTACAGCAATAAAGGAGTGGAATGAACTGCCTGCATATGTCAAAGCCAGTTCAGGAAAAGACCCAAAAGGTACCTTATGACTGTCTACAGAAAAGGAAGACAGTGATTTCTTGTATAGTTAACATGTATGTACCTATTATTTGATCTGATTCTTTTTAACGTTAACGTAAATAACTCGATTTACATTATTCATAGTATATCTTCTTTTATTGTAACTTCTTTTCACATAGATGAGTTACCTAGCTATTTTAACTTTAATGCTTTAATTAATAAGATAGTATAAGGACCTCAGTGGAAATAAATCACTGTCTGACTTTTTTGGGTTATCTTAGGTAATCTACACATATGCTGCTATGTATGATAAATTATGTAACTGTATTTATGTATACCTATACCTGAATAAACTTATTATCCCAGCCTGTGACCTACATGAGCATGTACTTACTCCCAACACATCCCAACCTGCAACAACCCAGGCACACACTACTCTCACTCACACCCTCAACTGCTGTCCACACATCTCAGATCAATTTATCCAATGTCGTCTCCGCTCTACTACTCTTTCTTTACCTTCCCTTCTTGCTGATGGACCCTCCTTTAATCCTGACGCTCTCAATGACTTCTTGACAACAACTGATTTACTCCACAAACTCTGATGATCATACCTTTCGCACTCCCCTCAGCCCTTTCTACCTCAATCTCTTGCTACCCTCTACCCCTGCACTATCCACTGCCCCGCTGTTCTCCGTAACCTACTAATCATCCCTCTCCCTTTTGCCACCTGATACCCTCGCTTCCTTCCTGCCCTGCAGCGCTGTAAAGCCCTTGTGGTTTAGCGCTTCTTTTTTATTATAATAATAATAATCAGATCAGTTTAACTTAAATAGTTGAGTCCCCCATATTTTTTTCAGTATTGTTCAATGTTGCTATTAAATTAATGTACAGTATATCCATGAAAATAACAAATCCTTGATTTGTTCAAGAGCATAAGTTTTTTCTAATGCACAAAACAGAAAATTAATTGGGTAGATGATGATGCTATAATTATACATAATAGTACAGTATATATATTGCAACATTACTTTCCCTTGGATTTTTTGTTTATAACATGAAGTTAGCAGCGAACCATCATTGATCCTAATGTTACTTTGATGCTTAAACTCTTGTAGCACTGTTTTGCTATTTTTTTTTTTCGTTCAGTACTATTTACACTCCAGCAACTCACTAGTGTACTACCTTATTGAATGGTGTACCAGACATTTGTTACTCTACATTTCATTTTCATTAATATTTCTTAGTTGTTCTTTTTTTCATTCTCTCTCTCTCCCTCTTGTTCTATATTCCTTCCATATGCATGTCAAAGCATTCCTCATCCTTTAACGCAAAATACTTTTGTTTCTTAATTCAAGCAAATATCTTTACTTATTGCTTGATAGGACACAAGGCTTGTTAAATTGTTGGATATGCCCAGTATATTTCAAGTGTTATTGCAGATCATTAAGTATTTCATAGTATTACAATTTTTTCACCAACTGTTCCTACTTTTATATATTTTCCTTTAGTTTTGTTTTTGTGGTCTTCACCCGCTGAGTAAGAATTGCTAAGAAATATGTCATCCTTAACTTTACCTGTCACCTTTACCTCCACCATCTCTTGTAGATGCATTCTAAATCTAACTGTTTATGTTTATGTAGCAGTTTTAGCAGTGTAACATATTTTAATGGAATGCTTTAAGTTTTTATTATATGTGTAATTGTTTTTTTAAATGCATGCTCTGTTATGCTTTGACTTTGTAGACATTGTTGCTTATAGTTGAGAAATGCTTATCCTGCTTATTCTGCACTATATCATAATGACTATTATATATTACAGTACTTTTAAATATTATAAGATACTGTTAACTGTCAGTTTTATTATTTGTGATTTATATTTCAAATTTTAATTAATATTAAATTTGAGAACTATATATGTAGTGTATATAAATATGATGTAATTTTGCAGTTTTAACTTAATATTTTGATCAGGTAATCAAGAAATTATTGTTCACGATTAACTTCACAATGTGTACAGCATGTAAAATAATAAAATAAATTTAGTTCAGATTAAGTGTAAATGCTGTGTATTAGATATGAACATGGTAAAATTGTTTCTTGTGATTACTATAGTTCACAAATTCTCTTGTTCAAATCTAAAGCTAGTCAATATAAAATAAATTTAATACTGTACTACATTGTGCACTTTGACTAATACTAATCAGTTTTAAAACTTGTTATATTTTTTTTTTTTTTTTTTTTTTTTTTTATTATCACACCGGCCGATTCCCACCAAGGCAGGGTGGCCCGAAAAAGAAAAACTTTCACCATCATTCACTCCATCACTGCTAATTTAAGTTTAAGTATTTGAAAATTTCTAGAGCTTAATTGTCTCAATACTTTCAGGAGCTGAGAAACTTGTCCGCCATCTTCACAAACACAGCATTCCCATAGCCATTGCCTCGGGTGGTGCTCAAGATAGTTTTGAACTGAAGACAACAAATCACAAAGAGTTTGTTACCATGTTCAGTCATGTGGTACTAGCATCTACAGATCCTGAAGTTCAAAATGGAAAGCCTGCTCCAGATGTCTTTCTTTTATGTGCTAACAGATTTTCTGACACCCCCAAACCGGAGCAGGTAATTAAATTCTAAGAAATCCTAGATAAGTAATTTTGTTTTTGGAGGGCATGCCCATCATGCTTTTTTTTTTATTTATTTTTTGCTATGATAATAGACATTCATTAATCACTGTTTTTTTTTTTTAATCAGTAATATTAATACAGCCTCTCCTCACTTAGCAATGTATGTACTTGTTTACCGACAACTCGGACTTACAAAGAACTCTGACCAATATGCTTATCTAAATAATGTATACAGTGGACCCCCAGTTCACGATATTAATCCATTCCTGAGAGCTCATCGTAAACCAAAATTATCAGAAAGCAAATAAATTTTCCCCATAAGAAATAATGGAAATCAAATTAATCCATGCAAGACACCCAAAAGTATGAAAAAAAACTTTTACCACATGAAATATTAAGTTTAATGCAATATAATAATTAAAATAATAATAACAATAGAATAATCACAATAGAATAATTGACACTTACCTTTAATGAAGATCTGGTGATGATTGATAGGATGGGAGGAGGGGAGAGTGTCGAAGTTTTTAATGTTTAGAAGGGGAATTCCCCTCCATTAGGACTTGAGGTAGCAAGTCTTTTTCCGGGGTTACTTCCCTTCTTCTTTTATTGCTACTAGGACCAGCTTGAGAGTCACTGGACTTCTGTCGCACAACATATCTTGAATTCATGCACATATTTTTCAGCTGCTTTTTGGTCCGAACTGGCAGCCTCACCACGCCTAATCACACGATGTATGCCACTATGATTCTTAAATCTTTCAAACCAACCTTTGCTGGCCTTAAATTCACTCGCATCACCACTAGTTGCAGGCATTTTTCTAATTAAATCCTCATGCAACTTCCTAGCCTTTTCACAAATGATCGCTCGAGAGATGCTATCTGTTTTTCATTTATCCACACCAATAACAGTCTCTCAACATTTTCTAACACTTGCGGTCGCTGTTTTGTAATCACAGTTGCACCTTTTGCAAGAACAGCTTCCTTGATTGCCGTTTTCCTGCTCACTATAGTAGAGATGGTTGATTGGGGTTTACTATACGACTTGGCCAGCTCCGACACACGCACTCCACTTTCATACTTTGCAATTATCTCTTTCTTCATTTCAATAGTCATTAGCACCCTTGGTCTTGATGGGTTGGCACTAGAAGCTTTCTTGGGGCCCATGGTGACTTATTTTGCAGAAACAAGCACCAAAAACAGTGATAATATGGATAATATGGAATGTATCCTTAGATGCCGCACACTGGCTGGCTTGTAAACACTGGCACACGGGGCAGTTCAGGCCACACGTGGACATGTCTTGTACAAATCGTATCGCATACCGGGTTTTGCAACGGGAACCGAGGCAAATTTTTTGCGATATAATGCTTCGGATACCGGATTTATCGGATACCGATGGCTTCGCGAACTGGGGGTCCACTGTATTAGAGCTGATTTCCTCTATTCTGTTTATTACAATATGCAGTGCACTACTGTATAAACATTTAAAAATATACATATAGCAGAAATGTTATAAATGGTGCAAAGGTGACATTGAAACAATATGAAAGATGGTTGACACAAACCCACTACCGCTATAATATGCTCTTCACTTAGCGATGAATTCGTTAACTGACATGGTCTTAGGAACGGAACTCCGTCGTTAAGTAGGGAGAGGCTGTATTCTTTTTTTTTTATCATCACACTGGCCGATTCCCACCAAGGCAGGGTGGCCCGAAAAAGAAAAACTTTCACCATCATTCACTCCATCACTGTCTTGCCAGAAGGGTGCTTTACACTACAGTTTTTAAACTGCAACATTAACACCCCTCCTTCAGAGTGCAGGCACTGTACTTCCCATCTCCAGGACTCAAGTCCGGCCTGCCGGTTTCCCTGAACCCCTTCATAAATGTTACTTTGCTGTATATAGTACTTTATTCTACTGTTACCATCATAGAACTTGAAATAAATAAAAGCTAATAAATATGTTCATTGTGTTCGAGGCAAATTTTGCTAGGCATATGATATACGTATTTATTTTTATTACTAAATATAAAAGAGAAAAATGTTTGTTTCTTTTTTTTTTTGGGTCACCTTCCTTGCTAGTAGACAACTGATGGGTTAAAAAAATTAAAAACTGTACTCTATCTTTTGCTATTACTTTCAGTTAAACATTTTATTGTACAGTGATGAGATTTTCATGGGTACTTAATACAGTGGAACCTCTACTTGCGAGCGTGTCCACGTGTGAGTTTTTCCAAAAACGAGCAGTCGATGGGTTGATTTTTTGCTTCCATACGCGAGCAAAATTTCCACAAGCAAGCAGACCTCAAGGCAGGTTCCTTGACACTGGTGAGGGGCTCTTGCTCTTGATCTCGGGAATTGTATCTCATTTGTTTGTTGGACTATCTTATTGAAACTTGGGCAATGTACGATGGAAAGATGCTTCTTAACGTACACCAAAAATGAAAGAAATCTATGCATAAATAATGGAGTTCACTTCTCAGCAATTAGCCACCCATTAGTGGTAATTTCGAATGGTTTTCATGGTTGTATTCTCGTTTTTTTGGTCTCATTTGATAGAATGGAAGATATATTACAGAAATAGATATGATTTTGATTGCTTTCATGATGAAAAGTACCTTGAAATTGAGCTCAACATAGGAGAAATGGTCCATTGCTTGGCTGTTTCAGTGTAAACAAATGACATCACAGTAAATCTTATATTTTTTGTGTGAGTAAAAATTACAAATTATTTATATAATAATAATAATAATGAAAGAAATCTAAGCATAAATAATGGAGTTCACTTCTCAGCAATTAGCCACCCCTTAGCGGTAATTTCAAATGGTTTTTATGGTTGTATTCTCATTTTTTTGGTCTCATTTGATAGAATGGAAGATATATTACAGAAATAGATGTGATATTGATTGCTTTCATGACGAAAAGTGCCTTGAAATTGAGCTCAACCTAGGAGAAATGGTCCATTGTTTGGCTGTCCATTCCAATATGCAGTCATGAAAATAATAATATGAATAATAACAATACATATAATAATAATAATAATAATATAATATGTATAATAATAATGTACTACATATAATAATTATAATAGACGGCTTCAAAAGGCCGTCACTAGATGGCAGTGTTTACCACAACAAAGAGGGAGCGGTTGTGGCCGCCTCCACCTGTTACATAATGACATATTTTATTCATTCTAGAGTATACAGTGGACCCCCGCTTAACGATCAGCTCCCAGTGCGACCAATTATGTAAGTGTATTTATGTAAGTGCATTTGTATGTGCATGTTTGGGGGTCTGAAATGGACTAATCTACTTCACAATATTCCTTATGGGAACAAATTCGGTCAGTACTGGCACCTGAACATACTTCTGGAATGAAAAAAGATCGTTAATCAGGGGTCCACTGTATATCGTGTTTCTATGTTATTTATATTGTCTGTTATGTCATATTAGATGAACTGTGATATATAAATAAGCCGTATAGATGATATTAGCGAAATTATTCATGAAGTATTTTGCCCGGTCTCCAAACTCTCCTCCACCGCCGGCACTGCCCATACCACTACATGAATGACATATTTTATTCATTCTAGAGTATATATCATGTTTCTATGTTATTCATATTGTTTGTTATGTCATACTAGATGAACTGTGATAGATAAATAAGCCGTATAGATGATATTAGCGAAATTATTCATGAAGTATTTTGCCCGGTGTCCAGACAAACTCGTCCATCGCCGACACCGCCCATACCACTACATGAATGACATATTTTATTCATTTTAGAGTATATATCAGGTTTCTATGTTATTTATATTGTTTATTATGTCATATTAGATGAAGTGAGATAGATAAATAAGCCGTAGAGTTGATATTAGCGAAATTATTGAAGTACAGAATTCCACTGGAACAGATTAATTGCATTTCAATTAATTTAAATGAGGAAAATTGACTTTGCAAACGAGCAAATCCAGTTGCGAGCAAGGTCATGGAACGGATTAAGCTCTCAAGTAGAGGTTCCACTGTAAATAAAAAAAAATGTAAGCATGAAAATTGCAGTAAAAACATTTTGGGTAAAAGTGAACTTAGCCAGTGTAAAAAAATATGTTACATTTTAATGACATTCTGGTATGACTGCCCTTTAATCCCACAGCAGACATATTTCCTATATAAAATAAAAAATAAAAGTTTCTACTGAAATTATTTAAAATAATTATATAGTTCATGAGGTAATAAAAAATTATAAGTTCATTATTCTATTAACATTATTCAGTCATTTTTACCCCAGAAAAATACTATTGGAAACCGAAGTAAATTAAAAAAATGGCATAAAAAGATGCCTTCATATTACATTAGTTTTTCTTAAAATATAAAATGTGAGTGTAGTGCTCATAGTCCCATAATATAAACTTGTACAGTAATTTTGGAAATTAGGGGTCAATTTGAGAACAGTTTATACGGCAATTACAAAATGTCAGCATAACTGAATCTTTGGTTACAGTATGGAGAATTTAATATTGCTTCACATGTAATAATATCAATTTAATTTTATAGTGCCTGGTGTTTGAGGATGCTCCAAATGGTGTAGCTGCAGGAGTTGCTGCTGGGATGCAAGTGGTGATGGTTCCAGATCCTCGCCTAGATGATAAAATGACAAAAGGAGCTTCACAAGTTTTGAAGTCACTGGAAGACTTTAGGCCAGAACTATTTGGCCTACCCAAATATGATGACTAAATTTTACTTGATAGCATTATATGCCTCAATATCCTTGACTCAATCTTAAGTTAGTAAAGATTATTACATTGATTAATGTTATATTTACTAAAAGCACTAAACCTCAATGGATCATACAGTGCTTGCTAAATAGTCAGAACTATTACAGTGCCTACTGCTATATTATATTTTTACATAACTTCAGAATAGATGAGCACTGGTTCATGCTAAACAGGTCCTGTTCACATCCGACTATACCCATTCATATATTTGTCTAACCTATCTTTAAAACTACGTAAGGTATTACCTTCACTGATGCTACTTGGCAGTTTGTGCCACTCATCTACAACTCTATTACCAAACCAGCTTTCCTATAGAACTTCTAAGTTGAGCTTATCCAACTTGAACTGATTGAAGTTCTTTCTTTGTTAGATATCCAGAGCACAGGTTTGGCAATAGAGCCATAGGTGAGTTAAATGAGTGGGTGAAAGGAGTTACTTAGAATAGAAGAATAGACTTACTACAGTTCTCTGTTCTTATGTTTTAATATAGGAAAGAGCTAGTTTGGTAATAGAGTTGTATATGAATGAAATAGGTGGGTGTGAGTAGTTCCTACTTAACATCTCTAGTAAGCTTACTACATTCCTTTTCTATTTTTTCTGTTCTTTATTGGAGAGATTACAATATATAGATTTCAACCCCATGAAATATCCATGAATAAGTCAACCTCTAGATTTTTGCCAAAAATCTGAACTTAAAACCTCAACCTATACTCAACTACATATATTCACTGTATCTGGGTATTCAGAAAATTTCAGTCTTTTGCTAGTGTTGTGGTGTTGCTAGTTTCCCTTAATGCCACAGAGTCCTTAAGTAGAATGAGAGGGTAGCTATCACACTTCAATATTTGTACAGTAACTCCTTCTACAATAGTTTTTGTAGTATTTATTGGGGAAAGTTCTTTCTTACCTCATAAAAATAGGAAATAGGTCATTGATATGATAATGTCAATACATATGGGGAAGATTTTTTTTTACACATGTTTTGTTCAGCAAGACTGACTGAATTTTCAGCTGCAGTTTAGATTTATGGACAGAAATACTGTATATAAGACACATGTAACACTAAAACATTTTATTAGGAAATGTTCTGATGTAACTTATGTGTTCTATTTGTATGCTGTCAGTATACATATACCAGGCTCCTGTAACCTGATAGTAGTAGTGTATTACAGTAATAGAGAAAGTTAAATCATTTGCAGAACAATTGTTTTTATAGAAAATATATACATATAGTACTGTATAGCTGTATATAGTATTGTATTCTCTTAGTATCTATTAGTTTTGCATTTGCCAATTTATTCAGGAAATTGTTTTACAGTTGAATGACATTAGATGATGTACAGTATTTTAACCCTTTCACGGCATCAAACGTTCCCATCTATTTCCCAACAAGTGTCATTTTTTCCTACAGAAAACGGTGTCAAATAAGGCTTCTTTTTTATTTGGGAAAGGCCATATGCTTTCCATATCTAGCATTTATTTTCCTTACAGTCTGAGTGTACAGTAAAACAAAAACAAATTTGTAATATTTTTCTTTTAACCTGAAGGTAGTATGTTGACAAGTGGTTAAAAAAAAAAAAAGGACACTAGTTGTGTTGGAGTTCATTTTTCAAGCACATAATAGATATGAGAAACAGAATTTCAATAGAGCAAAGGTCAAGTGTGTTGAGGTTTTGAGTTCAATTTAAGTAATAAAGATGGCTTTTCTTTAGAAAAAAATTGTGCTGTAAGGGTTGCTAAAGTGACCATCCAGCTGTTTTATTTAATGTTGCTCGTAAGTTTTATTGTAGATGGTTCCAAGCATCTGTGCTTGACTTTGTTTTCTTGGAGCAGTAATCTAACCCTATCCCATGCCATTAAGTAAGAGTAGTTATAATGTTACACATATGCATTATTGTTATTATTCATTCTTGTAGAGAAATAGGCAAGTTTCTAGCCTTTTTTCTGATGTAAACTAGGTTGCTTTCTCCACAGGGATTACTGTAATCCTCTGCATTCTTGGGTCTGGTGTGTGGCTTAGAGGTCTTCATAGTCTCATATGGAAATCTGAGGTTAGAGAAGCTGTTCTCTATGTAGTTTTGTCATTCTGCAGGAATTTGTCACTGCAGATTCTGACCCCCACCCCACCCCCTCTGCTGTGTTAATTAAGGCCAGAATCTTTCTTTCCTCCTAGTGTCACCCTCACAAAATCTATTCTTATTCTATCCAATCTAACAAGCTCGCTCCCAATCCCCCACAGGTGTCTTTTCTTTACATTAGTCTGGTCAGATTCTGAGTTCCCATAGAAAAATCTCATTAACACACTTTTTCTTAATCTTCAGTTCATGGTGTGAGGAATACGTTAGGTTATCTTTGTTGATTAGATCCAGTATACTGTTTACTTCTGGACATTATCATGGTGAAGATACATTGACGATGTATTGGTCATTGCACCAGGCAGTTCAGTTTGCAGCACTTCCATGAACAGCTAAACCAGTTGGAGCCTTCTATGCAGTTTACTAGTTTAGTGAAGGAGGCTAATGACTCCGTTTCCTTCTTAGATGTCCAACTTACCAGACAAGATGGCATCCTGAAGCAGGCAGTGGACCAGAAATCAACCAAGAAAGAAGACCTAATTCACTTTTTCTCCCATTATGATATGAAGACTAAGGGGTGCTAATTGGATTTTCTTCTATAAGCACTCAGAGTCTGCAGTGACGATTACACTACAGAAGTCCATAAAGGCCATATGAGATTTTACAAGGACCTCTAAGCCACACACCAGACCCAAGGACATGGGTTTACTGTATTTCCTGTCGAGGGTGCAACCTAGGCTACGTCAGGGAAAACGCTTCGAAGCTTCCTTATTCATCTATAGGAACACAAATACACATGCAGAATAGATAAGAGCAATGTATATGTGTAGCCCTGTAACTCTCACTCCCATTAATGGTATGGGGTAGGGCCAAACTGTTCTCCAAGAAAGTGGTGAAGACAATTTACTTTTAATTGTCTACAATAAAAATAACATGCACCATCAAACAAAACCGTGGGATGTTCATCTAAGCATTCCCAGTAGAACAAATTATTCTACAATAAAGAAAACCTAACATGGGGCAGTAAGCCACCTGTAGTGCTTCAAACTTAAACCACAACAGACCTTATTCTTGCACCTGGCCTTGGCACTATTCAAGCTGTTTGCTTCTCATATCTGTTGTACTGTCCTTGAAAAAGTCCATCTAAAGGTGAAATATACTAATAATGAACTCCACTGCAACCTGTATAATATTTAATAATTTTTTATGAAAAATAATTTATGTATCTCATATGTGGCTAAACACATTCCTGACACCATATTCTTTCATTCTGAAACAAAGTATATATATGTATATGTATTATTTTAAAATCACTATTTTTTTATTATATAAAAGTAACCGTGCAAGTAAGAGGGAGGTGAAAGTGGTTAGGAGCTCGGCCGGCATTGGTGGAGTGTGGACGTGTCTTCTGAAGGTTCCTCAGTTGTTTGTTGGTGAGGTAGGCCCTGTTTAGGCTCTGCTTCACCGTCTTTCTTTTCTTGTGTGCTTGTGTTGTCATTGTTTTCTCTATCAGGCGGTGTTGTGTGGCCCATTTATGGGGGGTTCGACTAAGATGTCGTTCACCCCCATAGGGGGGACCCCCCTCCTGTCTACTCAGTTGACAACTGTTTCACTACCGTCGGACCAAGATATGGCTAGTGTGCCCCCTACTGGGATAAACAAACGGGCCCTTGAGGTTGATGACAGTGCCAGGCCTCTGTCTAGCCCAAAACGCCAATCCACCACTTGTCCAGACTATGCTCCTTCTCCTCACATTACTCCAGACGTGATGGTGGTTCTTGTGCGTCCAAAGGATGGCGGTACGCCCTTCACCAATCCACGGGACGTCACCAACGCCATCAGTGGATCTCCTTTCAGCAAGGCTTGCATAGATGGGGGCATCCAACAACTCGGTAGGGGTGCAGCCCTAAAGCTCCGGCTCCATTGTAAGTCTTTTCTGGCTAGAAACTTGCCACTAAATGCCAATCATGTCCTGGGTAGGTGGAATGTTGACTGCTGGGAGGTCCACTTCTCAATCCTCGCCGTCGGTTGTTGTTACGGCAGAATTGGATCGATTTCTGCATCCCTCTCAGATGAGGAGATCCACTCTGAATTGGTTCACAGTGGGGGTGACAACTTAGATTTGCAGGAGGTTTGGAGCCTTTCGAATCATCCTACCCCATCTTGTATGGTTCGTGTATGTTTCTTGGGTGCTCTCCTGAAATTTGTGACTTTCGGCAATCTAAGGTGTCCTGTTCTTCCTTATACTTTTCCTTTACTCCGGTGTCGGAAATGTTTCCTTTTTGAGCATGGAGAGTTGTCTTGCCATGGTAAGGTAAGATGTGCGAACTGCAACGGGTTTCACCCAGTCATTAAAGACGGCATTACCTGTACCCGCCCGGCTTCATGCTACTTCTGTAAAGGGAACCACAAGGTTACCTCCCGGTCTTGCCCGGAATATCGCCAGGGTCTTGATTTGGCAAACTCAGCCAGGGCCCAGGCTCTTTCGCTCAATGAATGTAACTCCTTGTTACGGTTCGAATCTTAATCTTTAGCCAGGTTAGTGCACTCCGTAACAATACACTTCATAGAATGAGAAGATATTTCCAAACTTAGAAATGTAAGGCACAAATAATAGTTACTCAGTCTTTTCCTAGTCTCTTTTTATTTAAAAGCTTAAATACTACTTTAGATATTCACAAATATCTATTAAATATCACTTTGGTCAGAAACTTTCCTTCACACAAGAAAACTCTTAAATAGAATGTACATCATAGACCCTCTCTGGAGACTATGTCAGTATGGTCACTACACTTGATAATGATCAGAGGAATATTACTGCTTCCTCAATAGTAACATTACTTGTGTGCAAGTACATATATTGAGAATTAACACTTTCATTGAGTAACTCCCTGGCATAAGGAATATATCACAAAGTTCTAAGCTTGACACTGGTCGTCACATCGTAACCTGAAGGTTACAGTATATAATTGTCCGCAGACTTCACTTCACAATAAACCACAAGCTGGTTCAGGAGTTTCTACAAAAGAATTTCTCTATCCAAGTGAGAATAAGGCGGAGTACTAGGAGGGTAGCTCAGTCAATGCACACTGAGTCGGCAGAGAGAGTGAACTGAATTAACACAGTTAATCCATACATGACATCAACTCGCCAAAGGGGAGAGGGAATGGTAGGCTAAACTACCCTCCAAGGACATACCTTGTTTCAACTTTTAGCCAGCTGTTACCTACCTACCTAACATTACTCAAAATATGTAAATATATATACACATCATACCCGGGTATATTCCTAAATCAGATAATATTATAAACTAGTGGAATCTTTAATTTAGCTAATATTAAAGAAACCCCGAGTATAATATTAAGTGGATAATACATATAAATTAATCTCATTATGACCTTGGTCATAACACTCCTGCTTGCGGTCCGTAAAGCCAGTCACAGTCCGTCAGCCCCTGCCTCCTTTGCCTCCAGTGCCCCCCACTAAGGGAGTCTCCCCAACACCAACATGGCCAGGGCACCTGTACTCCGCAGTTGTGAGGGCTAATATCCCTGTTACAAATTGGTTTGGGATTCTTGCGGACCTCTCTCTCCCTTTAGAGGATTCCCCACCCCCGGGGCAACATCAACTCAGGGTGTCCTCGGACCCGGCTTCCATTGCGGAAGTTATTGCACATGCCCCCCCCTCGTTCACAACGCACGTCCTCTCGTCGAGGTGGTGCAGTTCCCAAATCGATTCGATGCTCAGTGCCCCACCCAGTTCAGGTGGACATTATACCCGACCCGGAGCCTTCCATCTCACAGCCAACTCCCCCCCCCCCATTCTTCTCAACCCTAGCCTCGGACTATCTCCACTCCAGGACCCTTCGTGTCTGAAGGTCCCGCTTTTTCACTCTCGCCTGCCTGGGCTTTATTCCTTCATCCTATCCTCCTCCTGGGCACCTCTTTTGTGACTGCATGTCTCTCGGCTCTCCCTTGCCTTATTGGGCTGCTTAGTTCACACACATGAATCTTTCTCACTCCTCTGTTTTTCTTCTATGGAACGCACGTTCTGTACTGGGGAAGCTTCCGGACCTTCAGAGGTATCTGACTGAGGAACAGCCACTGGTGGTGGGTCTCTCTGAGACATGGTTACGCCCTCGACATTCTCTTTGGATGCCTGGTTTTACTGTTTACCGTAGGGATCGCCTTGCAGGGAGCGGTGGTGGCCTAGCTCTTCTTGTATGCAACCGGCTCCAGAGTACGACCCTCCCTCCAAACCTATGAGAGTGGAGTGTTGGAAACTCTGGCTGTGAGAGTTCCCTTGGGCACTCAGTGGTGCAACATACTCCTTATCTATAATCCTGGCAGGTCAGTTACACAAAGTGAATTTACCTATTACTTTGGACAACTCCGTGGTTCTACACTTGTGATAGGAGACTTTAACGCAAGGCACCAGTTCTGGGAGC